GTCACTTTCCTGTAGAAAGCTTCTGTGCAGAATGTCCATGGTGCCCGACTGGCCTCACCTGGAGCCTAGGGGTGTTTGCTGTTTCTAATGTGGGCTTAAATTTGGCCTATGCACCTTTGAACAATTATAAATTCAAGTAGGATTTGCCAGTTTGATAAAGTTTCAATTTGATGAAAGAAATCTAAGCAAAGGACTGAGGGAGTGGCTCAGCTGGTAAGTGTTTCCATCTCCAGCAACAGATAAACCCACTGTGGTGGCTATCCCAGCAGATGGGAGGAAGAGGTAGGAGGATCAGAGGTTCAAAGCCAGCCTCTGCTACTAAGCTAGTTTAATAGTTTACTATTATTCCAGCCTGAATTACATGATGCTGAGTTTTATATAAGTAAGTAAATAAATGTTAAATAATGAAAAAACCTGTTCTTTCCTTTAAATAAAATTAAATGGGAATTGCAGTTTACCAAATTGTCTTACTTTTTTTTTTTTTTTTTTTTTTTGGTTTTTCGAGACAGGGTTTCTCTGTGGCTTTGGAGCCTGTCCTGGAACTAGCTCTGTAGACCAGGCTAGTCTCGAACTCACAGAGATCCGCCTGCCTCTGCCTCCCGAGTGCTGGGATTAAAGGCGTGCGCCACCATCGCCCGGCTTGTCTTACATTTTTTAACCAGGTATATTTCCCTAACACATAATCCATGATAAAGAATTATTGCTTTATTTTGTTTCCATTTATCTATTTCCAGTTGTAGAATCTGGAGTCTCTATATAGCACTAGATAACTCAGAAATTGCAAAGCATGTATCCAAGTTCCCAGGGTACCCAGTATTAGAAAACATCAAAAGAAAAGGATCAGCTAGGTGGCATTCGGGAGGCAGAGGCAGGCATCACTGTGAGTTTGAGGCCAACCTGGTCTACAGAGCAAGTTCCAGGACAGCCAGAGCTGTTACACAGGAATTCCTTAAAAAAAAAAAAAAAAAAAAAAAAAGCAAACATCCTGAAATCCATATATATTCAACCTGAGAAGTGTCATTGATATGAATACAGCCTGGAGATGTTGTTACTGTTATTAATTATTAATGTTGTTTTTGTTATTGCTGTTATTTTACTATACAGATTCAAAAATGCAAATATAAAATCAAAATATAACAGCCTCTTGCAAATGCACAGAAACCTGTGCATAAGACACAAATTTAATTGTCTCAAACTGAGTCCAAGAAGATAATAAACCACAGGTAATTCCTTCCACGAGCTTCATTTTATTTTCGTTGCTGTTTTGACAATTGAGCTGGTCTGAATAGAAGACAGTTTAATCTTCCTATCTGCTGAAGTCTGTGCAGAAATTACCAGAATCACGTGATACCCTGGTTCCTCCACTTGAAATTGCAACCCCTTTTCAAGGACACTTATTTATATTTCTTTATCCTGAGCCATCCTCTGTCATTCCCATGATTCACAGCTTTATGAGATGTGTGGACCATTCACAATCTCTTGGGAATTTTTTTAATTTCTCAACACAGTAAACACTTTTGGCCACTGAATTATCACCGCGGCAGCTCTGGGGTATTAATGGGATAGTGTTTGCAGCCCACGCTGGCACTGGGCCATCCTCATGACAGATCAGCCCAGGCATTGATATGAGGGAGGTGGAGGGCTAGGTTAGACACACCACACCTCTCGTCCAGGAGGTTACATCCAGGTGCATCACAGAGGGTGCAGATCCAACCTGCTGGACACCAGTTTTGACTCTTGCAGGTAGGTCATACCAACCTTTTCATGTCTGATTATTTGTGAACTTTAACTCTAGAAAGCACAATTCCAAATCCCAGAACTTGAGAGATGGAGACTGGAGAAACAAGGAGCCCTCGGCTACATAGAAAATCCGGTCCCAGAACTCTGCATTTGACAGAGAAAGTCTTCCTGGTTAGACATCTCAGTCCTCAGTGAATTAAAATGTGTGCAAGCGCATGCTGGCAATAGGTTAATTCTTTTAAAAGCAACCCTATAATTTTATCAATATAAACAAGCCCTTGCTACTAACCTTCTTTTACACGTGCCGGTTGATTCTCATTTCTCTATCCTGAAGTATAGACTTTTAAAATTACATATTCACAATGAATTTGGGGAAATGTGGAAAGGAAACTATATATTCTGACTTCTCTGTGGTTTCCCACAAGGCTTTTGTGGGAAGAAAAGAGAGGCATCTGTCTGTGACTGTGGTTTCAAATGCAGAAGGTGCGAGTGTAGTTTTAAGAAAGAGCTGTGGAATGTGGCAAGGAGATGTCCAGCCCGATGGACACAAAGCAAGGAGGGCAAAAGGAATCCCTTATTTTTCAGGGTAAACATTTCCCCATTCCCTGCCCTAGTCAAGCTGGAGGTCTCATTGCCCAGTAATGCATTTAGTGTGTTTCCCAAATGAGTTAATTCTTTAGGACCAATTTCAACCATGTTTCAGTTCCATGATCAGTGTTAGGAATTTATCCCTACAGTCTACTCTGTGGTGGTTTATAAATACTTTAATTAGTAGTAACTTGTCTCATTTGTATAAAGAGGTATAGACAATAATTTTATTAAAACAAACTGAACACACAATTAGATTTATAATGATTGAACACTATTAAACATTTATTTCACCTTAAAATGTATCCATCTATTGCCACTAAAAAGTTGAGCAGATAATTTCTAATCTTCTAAACTATAAATATAAGTAGAAATTTCTTAATATATATTTTTCTAGGTTTGTGAGTATAACTCAGTGATAGAGAGCTTGGCAAGCCTCTAGGAGGCCCTATATCCAATCTCTAATATTGTATACATAGAACAAAACATAAATGTGTTTTTAAAGAAACAGAGAAGTAGGGGTAACTGTTGAAATGGTTTTCTGAAAACACGTGTGCCACTCTTGCATGTTTTAAGCAAAGATTCGTCATTGCTGTTTAATGTGGTATCTTACTTCTTTATCAAATCACACACTCCAACATCTGGTGTCAAGCATCTTATCAAACTGGTGCACGTGTATCCCAAAGGGAGGGAAAGGCCTGCGGCACTGGCCCCAGACTGGTGAGCAGCAATCACAGTACGCCCCACACAGTGGACCATTAACTTCCTGAAAAATGAATGGAGGGCAGACATGACATCCATGAGCCCTCGGGACTTCGGAAATGGCTTGAGATACAGGCACAAGTAGGTGGGTTCTGTGGGATGGCAGCATCAAAGCTTCACAACGGCACATACTACTGAGGAAGAGAGAATAGTGGCTGCCAGCAGCTGTGGGGGAAAAAAGAAGAGGGAGTTTTGCTTAATGGGGGCCGAATTCTCATCTGGCAGCATTAAGAGAATTTAGAAGATGGATTCTAGTGTGGAAGGCGCCTAACAACACCACAGTGTTTATGTACATAAAATAGTGACTGCAGTTGCAGAAATGAATTTAAGGAAGTTGCTCCCTGCCTCCCAGTGGCGAAACAAAGCAAACTTAAAGTCTCGCCTATCCTCGATAATGAGAGGTTGGAACAGTGAAAAGTGAGTCAGGCAGGATTTGAGTCTTCAGCAATGGGGTGTCTTGAGAGCCATGGCCATGGTTCCACATAGTTTCTGGGGCAAAAGGGTATCTGAGAACTGGACATGTGGGCAACTCATGAGCCGAGCAAAGAGAACATACTTTCAAAGTAACTTTCAAAAGATAAAATGATCTGCAAAATATTTAACTTTCACACAACCAACTAAGATGCTCAGGGACTTGGTCAGGGGCTGAGTGAGTCATGGGGTTATTGTTCCAGCCATAGCTGTGATTTTAGCGGAGAAGAAACAAGGGAGGTACCCCCAGAAGGCACGGACTTCCTCAAGGCATTTGTGCTAGACAACAATCTTGAGGATGAAGTAGTATCCACATCTTTGTAGGGTGGATATTTTGATTCAATAAGCTCAACCAATCTTGGCCAAAAGCAAGGCAAAGATTAAAATGAAAGTAAAGATTTAAAGTCTCTTGAGAGTGACGCAGGAATCATTGTTTTCTCTACAGCTGGGCAAACACTAGGGTCTCTGAGTTACCCACTAAAGAATGAGTTTGTGTGGTGCTGAAGAAGGAGGGTCTGACTGAGGACAAAATACTTAGGAAGAGTTCATGGAAGCATTCATTAGCATTACAGGTTCATACTTAGAAAACCCCAAGAAGTCTTCTGGTATCTGAAGTGCCAACCTCTGTAAACAGAACCAAGTGAACTCCCACCCCAGGGTGAGTCTATCCTCTATCCACAGTCTGGCTTTCCTACTTTTAGATCTAGGAGCAAAAACCCTTTTGTTTGGCGAGACATTTATTATCCAGTGTTGGAGAAAATCATATGAACTTGGTTTTTTCAATAAAGTTTGATGGTTTAGTGTGTAAAATTTTTACCTGCCATGCACAAATCTCTGTGTCCATTTCCCAGCATTACATAAACCAGACATGGTAGCACATGCCTGTAACTCAGCACTCATGAGGAAGAGCCTGTAAGATCAGAGTTCCTAGGTCATTTTCTACTATTTAGAAAATTCAAGTCCAGCCTGGGATACATGACACCTTGTCTCAATAAATAAAAATTTTGATATATTAAATGTGTCACCTACATTAACAGTCCCTAAGTTGTATATAACAGATATTTCATCAACCAAGACTTTATTATGCAAAGTATAATTAATATGAAATTATAAATTATGAATAAGCAAATAGTTCTCAACCATTATGTTGCTACGGTGTAATAAAAAATCAGGAGTTCCTTCAGCTTACAAAGAACGTTGATTCATTACTGAACTCACTGTTCTGGTGGCATGTGTCAGGTAAACCTTGGAAATGAGGAAAGATTTATGTTAAGTTGTGACTGTGTTGGAACATTTTGCTAGCGTAGATGGATTTGAAGTGGGTTTCACCATTTCTCAAGGCAACTTTCTGGGCATGCGTAGTTCACACAGAGTCACAGATAATGAAACTCTCTCCCCTCCCTCGATTTGCAGTGCTGCCCCTGCTGGGAACCACGGACATGGGGAATGCCACAGCTGGGTTCATTCTCCTAGGACTCTTTAACTACACCAGAGCTCACCTGGTTCTCTTTGTGCTGGTTCTGACTGTGGCCCTCAACTCCGTGGTAGGCAATGCCCTCCTGCTTCTCCTGATTCAGCAGGATCGCCGGCTCCACACACCCATGTACTTTCTCCTCAGTCAGCTCTCTCTTATGGACATGATGCTGGTCACCACCACTGTGCCCCCCATGGCAGCGGGTTATTTAACGGGCAAGAAGTTCATCTCCACTGCTGGCTGTGGCTTCCAGATCTTCTTCTTCCTCACACTGGGAGGTGGCGAGTGCTTCCTCTTAGCGGCCATGTCCTATGACCGCTACGTGGCGATATGCCACCCTCTGCGCTATCCGGTTCTCATGAGCTGGCAGTTATGTTTGAGACTGACCTTGGGATCTTGGCTCCTGGGCGCAGCTGATGGAGCCATGCAGGCTGCCGCCACAATGAGCTTCCAGTTTTGCAACCGGAACGAAATCGACCACTTCTTTTGTGAGGCCCCTGTGTTGTTGCACCTGGCTTGTGGTAATACATCTGCCTTTGAGTTTGTCATGTACATCTGCTGTGTGTTGATGCTTCTGGTCCCCTTCTCCCTCATCCTGACATCGTATGGCCTCATCTTGGCCACTGTCCTCCGAATGCGGTCCATAGAAGCCCGCAAGAAGGCCTTTGCCACTTGCTCCTCTCACGTGGCTGTAGTGGGCCTCTTTTATGGAGCTGCCATTTTCATCTACATGAGACCCACATCTTCCAGGTCGGCTAACCATGATAAGGTTGTATCGGCATTCTACACTATTGCCACCCCCATGCTGAACCCCCTCATCTACAGCCTTAGGAACAGCGAGGTCAAGGGTAGCCTGAGGAAGTGTGTGGCCCGTTGTGCTGCCCTAACTAGTAGAAATGCCTTGGTTTGCTTGGCCTTTGACGGCTGTACAAAGAGGAAGGACATCCAGTAGGCACCTTCACGGGGTTATGTGTCAGGATGCCCAGTGGATACCTGAAGCCACTGAGAATTGCAAGCTCTGTTGTTGAGTTTCTTTTCCACCTTAACTCAACACTTCTATCCTGTGGTTGGAACTGGTAGGACCTGAGGAGTCTCTGCAAAACTGGGACTACGTTCCTGTTGTCCTTCCTCTCAATTTCATGGACACCTTTGTTCTTATTGTGGACATTAGCAAACTTAGCAGGCTACAGCGTCTGTAGTTTAACTTAATAAGCACCTTATTGCTTGACTTTTTGTTTGTTTTTGTTTTTCAAGACAGGCTTTATTCTGTTTAGCACTGGCTGTCCTGAACCTCGCTATGGAGACCAAGTTGGCCTGGAACCCAGAGATTCTCCTGTCTGTGCTTCCCAAGCATTGGGATTAAAGTGTGCCACCACCACCCGGAAAACTTGTCTTTAACATATCTAGATTTCAGTATCACAGCTTTTACACTTTGGAGACATGAAGGTCACTAGAACTGAGGTGGCTCCCATGTGACCGATGAATGGGTAGCATACATAGAGTGGATACGCTGGTCATAACTGGGTACCAGAACTGTAAGCCATCTCAACATGCTACTCAGAAGGCAGCACTGTAGTGGAAGAGTTAAAAATCCTGGAAGTTTTCATTCTTTTTCAGATGACAGTTGTCTGCAGGAAGCTATGGGTGTGGAAGGCAAAGCCACAAGTAAGGGGTGTGTGTGTGCATCTGTGCCCATGACTTGGATATTTTCTGCTTTACTCGGAGGTTTTGGTAAATCTACATGCTGGGAGTTGAGTGTGGAGCTGCCTTCTCATTTCAAAATGAATTCTCAAAAAAAAAAAAAAAAAAACCTGAAAAATCACAGATTCTCGGTGAAAAGTTCTCGTGCCCCTCCACACACAAATTTTTATGCCAGCAGGAACTGCAAGCAGCCTTGAGTATTAGCTGCCAGTTGGTTTCAAGTCTGGGGAAGCGAAGCACGGTTTTCTAGCCGGGGGTACGCACAGCAGGTTTCATCTTCCAGACAATTCTATTGAGCTCTGCCTTTGTATCTGTTACTAAGAGATACAAACTCCCAAACTGCACAGAGGTCCCCTGCGCCCTTTTCTAATCAAACATCTGCCCACAAATTCAAGGCTAGATGGAATTCCATTCCCATCCTATACTGTTTCATTGCTGGAAACAAAATAGACTCAATTTTGATGTCTTTATCTGTGTGTGTGTGTGTGTGTGTGTGTGTGTGTGTGTGTGTGTGTGTGATGTGTTTGTGAAGACTCTCTGCATTTTTACACACTCCAGTATCTGTTCTTTAAAATTGATAATAATACCCTAGTGTTTTAAAAACCACTACTTGTTCCCTACTTGTGATGGACATGTAGGTGACCTTCAAACTTTTATTGCATTACATGTTTTCACTTCACTTGGTAGATGGACGAGGAACCTTTATCAGATTGTTTGGTTTCACATTCCCACAAGCGGTTCACACTGGGTGCCGTTGCCCCAGCTTTATCAACGCTTTCCACTCAAGAAGTCTGGCAGTACGGCATCCTGCATGCTGTGTGTGCTTTTCTGGTGGTTCCTGATGCTGAGTGTTTTTGTACAGACTTACTGCCAGGTTGGGTATCATCTTGAACTTTGTATCTCAGTCTTGGAAAATAAAAACAAAACATGCTGCTGCTTCCACAGCAAACAAGTTGTGATTCACTCAGATATTCCAAGGTTTGGAATTTTAGAATAAAACTGCACGTGAGAATGTTTGCATTCAGTGTCTGGAATTTTTCACTTCGTGTGTACTTGGGGTTCCTTTTCAACCTCTTCCACTTTCTTCGAAGCAACAAACCTTGACAATGGCCCCACAGACTGTCCCAGCCATACAACTGTCGCCAATATGCAGAGGGACAAGTTTGGTCCTAAGCTATTTCCTTCCCTGCCCAGCTGGAGTCGGTGAGCTCCAATTAGCTCAGGTAATCTGTTTCAGTGGGTGTACCCATCATGATCTTGACCTCTTTGCTCATATTCTCATTCCTCCCACTCTTCAGCTGGACTTTGGGAGCTCAGCCCAGGGCTTCAATGCACGTCTCCGCCTCTCTTTCCATCAGTTGCTGGATGAAGGTTCTATGGTGATGTTTAAAGACATTCATCAGTCCGACAACAATGGTTGGAAGACTTTTAATGTTTGCTTCTATTTCCTTTGTGATTATAGGTCTATATAAATTGTTTATCAGGTCTTGATTTAATTTTAGTCTGTGGTAGCTATCAAGAAAATTGTTCATTCCTTTTGGTTTTTGAAGTATGACCTAATGATTCATTGGATTTCCTCAGTGATCAGTGAAAATATGTCCCCTTTTCATTTCTGATTTTGTTAATTTGGATATTCTCTGTCGTTTGGTTAGTTTGAATAAGGGTTTATCTAGCTTGACTTTCTCAAAGAACCAATTCTTTGTTTCACTGATTCTTTGTTTCTATTTTGCTAATTTTAGCCCTGAGTTTGATTATTTCCTACCGCCTATTCCTCCTGGGTGGTCTACTTCTTTTTGTTGTAGAGCTTTCAGTTCTGCTATGAAGTCACTAGTGTGAGATTTTTTCCAAATTCTTTATGTGGGCACTTAGTACTATGAACTTTTATGTTAACACTGCTTTCATAGTGTCCCATAAGTTTGGATTCATTTTCGTTGAAATCTAGATAGTTTTTAATTTCTTTCTTAATTCTTCCTTGACCCAGTGGCAATTCAATTGAGAGTTGTTCATTTTCCATGAGATTGTAGGCTTTCTGTATTTTGTGTTGTTGTTGAATTCTAGCTTTAACCCATGGTGATCAAATAAGATACAGGGGGTTATTCCATTTTTTTGTCTCTGTTGAGATTTGCTTTATGATCACATATGTGGTTGATGTTAGAGAAGATTCGATGAGGTAGGTGCCAAGAAGAAGGTATACTCTTTTGTGTTCGGGTGAATGCAATGCTCTGTACATGTCTGTTAAGTCCATTTGAGTCATACTTTTGTTAGTTCCCTTATCTTTCTCTTAAATTACTGTCTGACAGACCTGTCCATTGGAGAGAGTGGGGTGTTGATGTCTTCCACAATTAATATGTGGTGTGTGCTGTGTGATTTAATCTTTAGTAATGTTTCTTTTACAAATATGAGTGCCCTTATATTTGGGGCATAAATGTTCAGAATTAAGACTTCATTTTGTGGGCCAGAGACATCTTTGGGATCAGACACAAGTCAGGGACCTCTGAGAGAGTAGGCCCAAGCCAGGGACCTCTGTGAGAACAGGCCTGAGCCAGCGACCTACACTGGAGCATGCCTGAGGTAGCAACCTCCATAGGAAGAGGATTGAGCCAGTGACCTCTGTAGGAGCAGGCTCAAGGCAACAACCTCCACAAGAGCAGGCCCAAGCCAGTAACCTCTGCCAGAGCAGGCCTGAGCCAGTAACCTTCAACAGAGCAGGCCTGAGGCAGCAACTTCCACAGGAACAGGTACAAGGGAGCAACCACTGAGGGCACAGGCCTGAACCAAAGACCTCTGTGGGACTGGGCATGAGTCAGAGACCTCCGAGCAAACAGGCCTGAGCCAGGGGCATCTGTAGAAATAGGCCTGAGTCAGTGACTTCAGCTGGAGCAGGCCTGAGGCAGCAACCTCCATTGGAGTATGTACAAGGAAGCCACCACTGAGGGAGTATGCCTGAGCCAGGACCTGTACCAAGCCAGGGACCTCCACAGGAGCAGGCCCAAGCCAGAGGCATCTATGGGAGCAGGACCAAGTCAACGACTCTGCTGGAGTAGGCCTGAGGCAGAGACCTCCACAGATGTAGGTACAAAAGAGAGACCCCCAAGGGAGCAGGCCTGAGACAGGGATGTCTGTGGAAATGGACCTGAGGCAGTGACCTACACAGGAACAGGATTGAGCCAGTAGCCTCCACCAGAGCAGGTCCAAGGCAAGGACCTCCACAGGAGCAAGTACAAGGGAGCCACTGCTGAGGGGATAGGACCAAACCAGAAACCTCTGCAGCACTGGGCGTGAATCAGTGACCTCTCCACAGGCGCAGGCCAGAGCCAGCGACATCTGCTGGAGCAGGCCCAAGGCAGTGACCTCAGTAGGAACAGCTCCAAGCAAGCAACCTCTGTGGGAGCAGACCCAAACGACCCTCAGTGTTTCAGCGACCCCTGAGAACACTGATCAACCTACAGGAACACTGAGTGACCTTCAGGGAAACTGGAACCCTGGCCCTAACTGCACCACAAAGAGCCGGCGGTGGTGGCACAGGCCTTTAATCCCAGCACTTGGGAGTCAGAGGCAGGCGGATCTCTGTGAGTTCGAGACCAGCCTGGTCTACAAGAGCTAGTTCCAGGACAGGCTCCAAAACCACTGAGAAACCCTGTCTAGAAAAAAAAGATCAACCATCTGAGTCTTGGATCCAGTAGGACCTGAAAGATTGATCAACAAAGACACAAGGGCAACTACACCAATCAGAGGGAAAGATAGGTAGACAAAATAAGAACACACTCAACACCACAAAGAGCAACACGACACCAATAAAGTACTTTTTCTAGTACTTTCTGTAGAGCTGGATTTGTGGATAGGTATTGTTTAAATCTGGTTTTATCATGGAATATCTTGCTTTCTCCATCTATCCCTATTATTTTTAGTTTTGGTCTTTCATGGTGTTCCAGATTTCCTGGATGTTTTGTGTTAGGAATTTATTGGATTTAACTTTTTCTTTGCCTGACGAATTTATTTCCCCTATTGTATATCTTCAATGCCTAAAATTCACTCTTCCATCTCTTGAATTCTGTTGGTTATCCTTGCTTCTGTAGTTCCTGTTCACTTACCTAGATTTTTTATTTCCAGAATTCCCATGGTTTGTGTTTTCTTTATTGCCTCTGTTTCAACTTTCAAGTCTTGAATTGTTTCCTTCACCTGTCTGGTTTTTTTCTTGGTTTTCTTGACATTCTTTGAGGGATTTATTGATTTCTTCCAATTTTTGGTTGT